ACCACTTATATACACTTTATATTCTCCATCCAATTCCCCTTTATAAACCCCATTTTGTCAGTTTAATTTAATTGGCTGTGCATGAAATGTTGTGCACTAACCACAGAGTTACTGTGGAACGACTTCTGTAAAACTATAAAAAATAACCGTGAACCAAGAACATGTCCAATCAAGAATGTGTGCACCGTCTAGTCAATGCTATAATAATAATAATAAGAATAACCAAGGAAATCTCATATCAGGGTATAGATATCGAGAGTATAGCCATGCTATGAAAGCACGCTTATAAATCATATTTTTAACAGGAGTCGTCTTCATGCACAGTCTCTCCTATTTGATAACAACTAGGTGATTAAGTAACAATTTTTCATAAAGTCATTCATGTCAACCACAATATCAGACAAAATAAATACTATATGCATAAGCCGATTTTTGTCTACTCATGACCTTTCAGGTGATCTCTAAAATCAATAGCTGGTCTATAGTTAACAAATTTATATGTAAATATAAAGCTTCCATCTATAAAGACTTGGAACATATGGCATGACTTTTATGCAAGGGCTTGAGTTGTATTTAAGTTTGCTCCAGACTGGTTATAGTAAAATTTAGTCTGGTCTGGTTCAGAATTCATTTCTGGGAAATTTGTACTGTCTGGTTTGGATTTTTGGTTCAGTCAGATCGGTTTGGGTTCAATCGGATCTGGTTTAGATTCAATTCTAGTTTGGTTCAGTGTCGGTTCTGGTCTGATTCATAACTGGTTCGGGTCTGGTATGCAGACTGTAGGGGTTCTGGTTTAGGTCAGTCTGGGTTCGGGTCTAGTCTGAACTTAAGTTCGGGTTCGGTTTAAACTGGTTCGGGTTCAAGTTCAGACCGAACTAAAAATATATATTTTTGTAAAAGTGAAGCTTATGGGATTCGAACTCATAACCAATGGCTTAGGATCCAAGTCTTGTGACCACTAAGCTAAGCACATACATGTGAAGTTTATTGTTGCAGCAGTATACTTAAGTTCTGATTTCTAGACTAACAAGATTTATTAGAAGGAGGGGTTTGGAAAATAACCCGAAAATATATAATTTTTCTAAATTTGGCCAAAATGAATAATAAAAATACTATCCAAATTTTGAAAATTTATTTATTTTCTTGTTAGAAAAATATCATTATCTAAAATAAAAATGCTTACATAAATTTTGGCATACAAACTTAACCCACAATAATTATGTAACATGGAAACTAATATTGACAAAAATTTTAAAGAGGAAATTATGCTTGCATAATAATAATAATAACAAATTCTTAGAGAACTTAAGAATAATAGAATACTATGGAATAAGATCATAAACGAAAATATTCAACAAGAAACAAGACAAAAATGCTTGCCTAAAATTTAAACTCTGAAAATTTTGATCCCTATCCGTTCCTTTTCCTAGTACCCGGTTTTCCTCTCAATTAGCCAATCTCCCATCCGTCTTCTCTTCTTTTCTCTCTCTCTCTCTTTCTCTTCTGTTTTTTTTTCCCGTGAGAAGAGATTTATAAGGGGTCATAAATAGGTGATTAGTGGGACTTAGGCACTGATGGTGAGGTTTTCAGCAATCGCTTTTGGGTTGTGACTTTCTAAAAGGAGCAAGGCTAGCAAATTTTTATTCATACTTCAAGTGACATTAAATATACATGAAATTGACCTCTCATGCACTTTTATACCCGTGAGTTTCATGATGGGAATAGAAAAAAAAATATGGCCTGCCAAAGTTCATTAACTTTTAGTGATGGGAGTTATGTCAAAAAGGTGGAAGCTACATGTGAACGTGGCATTAATTTCTAAACCCATGTATCAATCATGCATAGCATCGTAATTGGACTGAAGCCAATATATAAACCTCAAATTTCAAACCAATTGCACTAGCAAAACAAGACTTTGCTGGCAAATGAAAAATCATTAAATCATGCTTGCTTTGTCTTTTGTAGACGTTGGCCGTTGGGTCAACAAAGTGCTAAAGCCTCCAAAGTGGACTAAGTGTCATGCCTCTCTTCTTTTTTGCATAAAAACAGATACAGCACACAAACCTACTCTTAATTGTTAAGCCGGATAACTATCACGTTACCCTCTTCCCTTAATCACTTATTAGTTAATTAATTAAGGTTCCAACAAAGTAGGCTCGCTATATTATATTCCAGTAGGAAAAAAATATGCATAACATGGATGTGATCTTGTAAGTAAGGGGTTCAGTTCTGGATTTGTGCTTACAACGTGAACTTGTTGGATCAAATTCTAAAACAGTGGTATCCAAAGTTGAAGGTTGTTACATCTCACCCACCTTAAAAAAAAATTTCGTCCTCGAAATTTAATCCAAGCATTTGAGTAGCTAAACATTACCTGAAATGAAGAGATGTGGATAACGCTGACGAATATCATCCTCTCGTTCCCATGTTGCCTCTCTTGGTCCATGGTGTGCCCATGATACCAATACCAGAGGGATAGTTTGATTCTTAAGAATTTTCTCACATCTATCCAGAATATTTATTGGTCGCTCCTCATAAGATAGGTTTGTCCCAATTTGAAGTTCTGCGATATCTAGGACGTGGGTCTCATCTCGCACATATCGTCGAAGCTGTGATACGTGGAATACATCATGCACTCCTTCCAAGGATGGAGGCAAGGCTAGTCGGTATGCCACCTCTCCTACTTTATCCAATATCTCAAAAGGACCAATGAAACGTGGACTAAGTTTCCCACGGCTGCCAAATCTAATAATTCCTCTGGTTGGGGATATCCTCAAGAAAACATGCTCTCCAACCTGAAACTGTAGAAGTCTTCTCTTAGCATCAGCCCAACTCTTTTGTCTATCCTGAGCTGATTTAAGGTGCTCCCTTATTGTCTTTATCTTATCTACTGTCACTATCATCTCAGGACCTAGCAGACGCCGCTCTCCCAAGTCATCCCAACATGTAGGAGATCTACATTTTCTCCCATATAATGCTTCATAAGGTGCCATCTGGATGCTGGCCTGATAACTGTTATTATAAGAAAACTCCACCAAGTGTAAGTGATCTTCCCAAGAGCCCTTGAAATCCAGCATGCATGCCCGCAACATGTCCTCCAAAATCTGGATGGTCCTCTCTGATTGTCCATCTGTCTGAGGATGGTAAGCCGTGCTGTAACTTAGTCTAGTCCCAAGACACTGTTGCAAACTCCTCCAAAAGTGTGATAAGAATCGCGTGTCTCTATCAGAAACAATACTAACTGGTACCCCATGCAAGCGTACTATCTCCCTCATGTACAGCTGGGCTAAACTCTCCGTCGTCTCTCCAACTCGAAATGGTATGAAACGAGCCGACTTGGTGAGTCGATCTACTACTACCCATATAGCGTTGTTTCCCTTCTGGCTTCTCGGTAGAGCTGTGACAAAATCCATCGTAACATGTTCCCACTTCCACTCAGGAATAGGAAGGGGCTGTAATAACCCAGCTGTCCTTTGATGCTCAACCTTCACCTGCTGACATATTAGGCATTTGGACACAAATCGAGCTATCTCCATCTTCATTCCTGGCCACCAGTAATACTCTCTCAAATCTCGATACATCTTCGTGCCTCCTGGATGAATAGAAAGCACTGAACTGTGCGCATCCTCTAAAAGCCCTCTCCTAACACTACCCTTAGGCACACACAACCTACCACGGAATCTCAAGGATCCATCCTCATGTATCTGTAAATCAGTTCTCTCTCCAGACTCCACTTGTTTCTTGAATTTTTGGTACCGAGCATCCTCAAACTGAGTAGCCTTGATCCGATCCACCAGAGTTGACTGTAAATGTAAACTCATCAACTGTCTCCCTTCTCCAGGCAATATAACCCCCATGTTCATCCTCCAAAACTCAGCTAGCAACTCCCGCTGTCTAGTGAGTCTCATCGCCACAGGCTTCCTGCTCAAATGATCGGGTACCACATTAACTTGTCCCGGGTGATATTGTAAATCAAGATCATAATCCGCCATAAGCTCTAACCACCGGCGTTGTCTCATGTTGAGCTCCTTTTGAGTGAAGATATACTTTAAGCTTTTATGATCTGTGTACACCTCCACTCTCTGCCCTAAAAGATAGTGCCGCCAAAGCTTTAATGCAAAAATAACTGCCGCCAATTCCAGATCATGAACCGGGTAGTTCCTCTCATGTGTCTTCAACTGCCTAGATGCGTAAGCTACTACCTTTCCATGTTGCATCAGAACACAACCCAAACCCAAACCAGAAGCATCCATGTGTACTACAAATCCTCCTAACTCATCGGGAATTGTCAAAACTGGTGCTGTTGTCAATTTCTTCCTTAACTCCTCAAATGCTGCTTGGCATTCTGGAGCCCACACAAACTTTACCTCCTTTCGAATCAGCCTAGTAAGTGGTCCTGCAATCTTAGCGAAATCTTTTATGAATTTCCTATAGTATCCAGCCATCCCCAAGAAACTCCGTACTTCTGTCACAGATGTAGGAGGATCCAACCTCAACACTGCATCTACCTTCTTTGGGTCCACAGAGACACCTGCTCCTGAAATTACGTGCCCCAGAAAGGACACTTGCTCCAGCCAAAACTCACACTTGTTTAATTTTCCATAAAGTTTTTCCTTCCGCAGGATTTCCAACACCGTCTGTAGATGCTCTGCATGATCATCCTTGGTCTTAGAGTATACAAGAATGTCATTGATGAACACCACCACGAACTGGTCGAGATATTGTGAAAACACCTTATTCATCAAACTCGTAAATGTAGAAGGAGCATTTGTTACTCCGAATGGCATCACTAGGAACTCATAATGCCCGTACCGTGTGCGAAATGCAGTCTTGGGTATATCTTCCTTCCTCACCTTCAGCTGATGATAGCCTGATCTGAGGTCCAGCTTAGAAAATACCCTAGCCTCTCCAAGCTGATCAAAAAGATCATCAATCCTGGGAATAGGGTATTTATTTTTGATGGTAACCCGATTTAACTCTCTGTAGTCAATACACATTCTTCAGCTACCATCCGGCTTTGGCACTAACACCATAGGTGCCCCCCAGGGTGAAGTACTAAGCCTGATAAATTGCTTATCCAAATACTCCTGGACCTGCTTCCGCAACTCCTCTAAATCTGCTATCGGCATTCGATAAGGTGGTTTTGAGATAGGTGAAACCCCTGGAATAAGATCAATGACGAACTCTATATCTCTATCTGGTGGCAGACCCGGCAACTCATTAGGAAAAACATCAAGGAACTCCTTGACAATTTCTGGTATAGGCTTCTCCTCAACCTCTATGCAAGTTAATACTCCCTCCACGCCAGCTCGATACTCTGGATGCTCCATCACTTTGCTACCACTCATGAATTCAAAGTCTGGGTGATCTGGTATCTTGAACACTACACTTCTGCGTCGGCAGTCGATCGTCGCGTAGAAGTTATAGAGCCAGTCCATTCCCAAAATAACATCGAACCTATTAGTGTCAATTACCAACAAGTCTGCAAATAGCTCCCTACCACAAACTACCACTGGGCATTTCTTACACTCCCTACTAGATGTTAACACCCCACTACCAGTATGGATATTCCAGCTTGCATCTAATTTATCACATGGTATAGTGTGTCGTGCAATGAACTGAGCAGATATAAAACAATGCGATGCCCCAGAATCAAATAGGGTAAATGCAGGGACTGAATAAACCAAAATGGTACCTGTGACTACATCACCAGATGTGTCTGCCTGCTCAGCAGTAAGTGTCAAAACCTGACCTTGTCTCTGCTGCTGCTGAGCTTGTTGATCGTATTGCCCTGGGCGCCTCTGTTGATATTGCGGCTGGTATGAGTGCTGAAAATGAGGACCTCTCCACAGTCTCGGGCCTTGAAATTATTGACCCCTCTGATGTCCTCGGAACATCTGTTGTTGGGTAGGTAAGGACGGCCTCCACTGTTGTCCACCCTGTCTAGTCTGACCTACGGGTACTATCGCTCCACCTGAAGCTCCTCCTGGAACTCTTCTACTAGGACAAGTGGTAAGCTGATGATCTGCTGCCCCACATATTAAGCACAACCCATTAGCTTTCCAACAATCCTTCATCAAGTGCCCCGGCTTTTTACAATAATGGCAAACCATGTTGGTTGGTTGTGGAGCTGGTCTCGAAGTTCCTGTCTGTTGGCGCTTGGCTGGTGCTCCTCCCGTCTGAGGTTTCTGCTGGTTACTCCCCGAGGTCTGTCCTGCATGACGCTTGTTAGCCCCTCTCCTCACCGAGTTCATGATCCCAATTAGTTGTTCTGCTTTTTGAGCTGCCTCTAGGACATCAGCATAGGTATCTACCCCCTTCTGACTGTAAATCTGAGTCTGGATCTCAAAATTTAGACCCTGCATAAACCTTTGTCCCTTATCCACCTCATTTGATATCATCCCCGGAGCAAACCGGCTGAGCTTGGCAAATTCGGCTGCATACTCATCTACAGTATTAGCTCGCTGTCTCAGCATTGCAAATTGCCTCTGCATATCAAGACGAGATGTCTTTGGAAAAAATGTCTCTAGGAAACTCTCCCGAAATGTCTCCCACGAAATTGGCTGAGGCAGCTTCTCCTCCTCTGCGTCCCACCAGGTCCTTGCTACATTAACGAGCTGTAGCTGCACAATATCTACTCGGTCTTCATCTGGTATTTTTGCTGCCCTTAATAAGCGATCCATGGTCTGCAACCACATCTCGGCCTCATATCCGCCTTCAGTCCCAGCAAAGTGTTGAGGGTTGAGCTTCCGAAAATCAGACACATTAGCCGACCTGGCAACCTGATGGTGCCCATCCCTCTGGCGATTATGAGCTACTAGCTCCCTAATTGCTTCTGCAAGATCAGCCTGATCGGCTTGATTTCCCTCAGGGACAACTGGAGTAGAGGGTCGACGTCTTGGGGCCATAGTGATCACCTAAAATAAGATTTGTTAAGATTAGGACTTGAGAATCAGGGTATTGGGAGTCAAAGGACAAAATTCTGAAAAGGAAGGAACCTATTCTATACATGCTCTATCTTGTTGTCTAATCTTAGTTTTTCTTGTATACAGGATGAGACAAAAATTGCTAAACCTGGCTCTGATACCACTAAAAACCTTGTCACTCCCCAGTACCAAAATAAAATATTTTAGGACGTGACTCGGCCGGCAATGCAACCATTCGGTCACATTCACGCCTCTGAATTATCCTGTATACAGATATATTGCCTACAAGAACTACTACATAGAGCATGTAACTAAGATAACAAAGGGAAATTGATAGATAAAGAAATCAGAACAAGACAAAGTTCTCTTACATGTCCTCAACTTCCAAATTAGGAAAGAGGATCAATACATTATAGTCTGAAATGCCAAAGTTTATTACATGACAAGTCTCATAACGATGTAACTACCTAATACAAGGGAAGTAGAGAATTGATATAACAACAAGTGATCACTGTTGCTGAGCCTGCCCCTCGAAATACTCACGGTCCTGCGAAGAAAGAATGGTTCCCGAATCTGGGGCGAGCAAACCCCAGAGGAGTCAGAAAACTCCCAGCAAGCATGTAAAATGAGGAAATTGTGCTCGTGTAAGTGTATGTGACAAGTATAAATAAAAATATGAAATCTAAATTCGAGGTGAAATAAGAAAAATACTCATCATAAATATCAAACAAAGTCTACCACAAGGCACATAAATATATTATTTTAATTTATATGTTATTTGAATTAGAGGAGAATGATATCATGTATATAAATCGGCTTTCCCGTAAAACATCCCGGGAATACGGCGACAAGTATTGTATTGACCATTGGCCTTATCATTTATCAAATCAGTATGTACAGGCCTTATCATTTCATATCAGTATGCACGTGAACCACTTATATACACTTTATATTCTCCATCCAATTCCCCTTTATAAACCCCATGTTTGTCAGTTAAACTTTTATTGACTGTGCATGAAATGTTGTGCACTAACCACAAGGTTACTGTGGAACGACTTCTGTAAAACTATGAAAAATAACCGTGAACCAAGAACATGTCCAATCAAGAATGTGTGCACCGTCTAGTCGATGCTATAATAATAATAGCCAAGGAAATCTCATATCAGGATATAGATATCGAGAGCATAGCCATGCTATGAAAGCACGCTTATAAATCATATTTTTAACAGGAGTCGTCTTCATGCACAGTCTCTCCTATTGGATAACAACTAGGTGATTAAGTAACAATTTTTCATAAAGTCATTCATGTCAACCACAATATCAGACAAAATAAATACTAGATGTATAAACTGATTTTAGTCTACTAATGACCTTTCAGGTGATCTCTAAAATCAATAGCTGGTCTATAGTTAACAAATTTATATGTAAATGTAAAGCTTCCATCTATAAAGACTTGGAACATATAGTAAAATTTGTTCCAGAGTGGTTATAGTAAAATTTGGTCAAGTCTGGTTCAGAATTCGTTCTGGGAAATTTGTACTGTCTGGTTTGGATTTTTGGTTCAGTCAGATCGGTTTGGGGTTATAGTAAAATTTAGTCTGGTCTGGTTCAGAATTCATTTCTGGGAAATTTGTACTGTCTGGTTTGGATTTTTGGTTCAGTCAGATCGGTTTGGGTTCAATCGGATCTGGTTTAGATTCAATTCTAGTTTGGTTCAGTGTCGGTTCTGGTCTGATTCATAACTGGTTCGGGTCTGGTATGCAGACTGTAGGGGTTCTGGTTTAGGTCAGTCTGGGTTCGGGTCTAGTCTGAACTTAAGTTCGGGTTCGGTTTAAACTGGTTCGGGTTCAAGTTCAGACCGAACTAAAAATATATATTTTTGTAAAAATGAAAGCTTATGGGTTCGAACTCATAACCAATGGCTTAGGATCCAAGTCTTGTGACCACTAAGCTAAGCACATACATGTGAAGTTTATTGTTGCAGCAGTATACTTAAGTTCTGATTTCTAGACTAACAAGATTTATTAGAAGGAGGGGTTTGGAAAATAACCCGAAAATATATAATTTTTCTAAATTTGGCCAAATTGAATAATAAAAATAGTATCCGAATTTTTGAAAATTTATTCATTTTCTTGTTAGAAAAATATCATTATCTAAAATAAAAATGCTTACATAAATTTTGGCATACAAACTTAACCCACAATAATTATGTAACATGGAAACTAATATTGACAAAAATTTTAAAGAGGAAATTATGCTTGCATAATAATAATAAGAACAAATTCTTAGAGAACTCAAAATGATAGAATACTATGCAATGAGATCATAAACGAAAATATTAAGCAAGACAAAAATGCTTGCCTAAAATTTAAACTCTGAAAATTTTGATCCCTATCCGTTCCTTTTCCTAGTACCCGGTTTTCCTCTCAATTAGCCAATCTCCCATCCGTCTTCTCTTCTTTTCTCTCTCTCTCTCTCTCTTTCTCTTCTGTTTTTTTTTTTTCCCGTGAGAAGAGATTTATAAGGGGTCATAAATAGGTGAATAGTGGGACTTAGGCACTGATGGTGAGGTTTTCAGCAATCGCTTTTGGGTTGTGACTTTCTAAAAGGAGCAAGGCTAGCAAATTTTTATTCATACTTCAAGTGACATTAAATATACATGAAATTGACCTCTCATGCACTTTTATTCCCGTGAGTTTCATGATGGAATAGAAAAAAAAATATGGCCTGCCAAAGTTCATTAACTTTTAGTGATGGGAGTTATGTCAAAAAGGTGGAAGCTACATGTGAACGTGGCATTAATTTCTAAACCCATGTATCAATCATGCATAGCATCGTAATTGGACTGAAGGCAATATATAAACCTCAAATTTCAAACCAATTGCACTAGCAAAACAAGACTTTGCTGGCAAATGAAAAATCATTAAATCATGCTTGCTTTGTCTTTTGTAGACGTTGGCCGTTGGGTCAACAAAGTGCTAAAGCCTCCAAAGTGGACTAAGTGTCATGCCTCTCTTCTTTTTTGCATAAAAACAGATACAGCACACAAACCTACTCTTAATTGTTAAGCCGGATAACTATCACGTTACCCTCTTCCCTTAATCACTTATTAGTTAATTAATTAAGGTTCCAACAAAGTAGGCTCGCTATATTATATTCCAGTAGGAAAAAAATATGCATAACATGGATGTGATCTTGTAAGTAAGGGGTTCAGTTCTGGATTTGTGCTTACAACGTGAACTTGTTGGATCAAATTCTAAAACAGTGGTATCCAAAGTTGAAGGTTGTTACAGCATGTGTACCAAGTTGAGCTTCAATGAAGATCAAGATCAAGCTTGGGTATATTTAGTATAGGTTTATATTATGTGTGTTATATACTCTAAGCTCAATATTATATTCACACACACATTTATTAGTTTCTTAGTATATATATATATATAAAGTCCTTTTTCGAAACCAGTCATTGTAGCATGTTTATTATCATGTCTACAATCATTCCCCAAAGTTTTACATTTTTCTGAATTTATTTGATATTTTTAAACAGTGTTTTAAAATCAGCTTTGTTTTTCTGGGATGTCAGTTTTCGGTCGACCGGTACGGTCGACCGGTACGGTCGACCGAAATTTCGATTTCTATATCGGTCGACCGCGCCGGTCGACCGATGATGGCTCCGCTTGTTTTCTGGATTTTCAAGGTTGTTCGCGGTCGACCGGATTTTCGGGTCGGTCGACCGAATCATTTTTTCGGTCGACCGAATCGTTGTCAGGTCTCCCAACGGCTATTTTTCTAGCCGTTGCAGATTTTCTGGTTTGGGCCTTTTGGTCATTTTGTTTGGGGTTTTTGCTGATATTTCCTCTTCCTATATATACCCCATTGCTGATGTCTTTTCAAATTGATTAAGAGAGTTTTAAAAACAAGTTTAAGAAAGTTTTAAACAAGGGTTTGAGTTTGTTTAGTTTGTTTTTGGGGTTTGCTGTTACAAAGAGGAGTTTGCATCACGTTTGGGGTTTTTGTTGAGATCTTGAGAGGGTATAAATACCCAATTGCTGATCTCTTTTCAAGTGAAAAAAAGAAGAGTTTTAAACAAAGTTTTTAAACAAGGGTTTAGGGTTTTACTGTTTGTTTAAGATTGGGTTTCTGTTTACAAAAGAGGAAGTTCTCACTGCAGATTGAGGGATTCATTCTCAATCCTCTTCATCCTCTTCTTTGTGTTTATAGAGAAGTTTTCTAACTCTTTTCCCTAGCAATTTCATTATTGATTTATCATATATTAATTATTGCTAGTTTGCTATTTGAGCTAGATTTCATTTTACTCATTGTTACACCCACCCACATTGAGCTTATTGTATTTGCATACATAGTATATTAGGGTTGTGAGAGATTGTAACATTGAGTTGTGCTTAATTGAGTTCTCACCTATTGTAGAGAACAAATTTATATTTGTTACATTGTGAGTGTTGTTAGGTTTTCGGTGAGCTAGAAACCGTAGAGTGTTGTGAAATTTTCGGTGAACTAGAAACCGAGTGTGAGGAGTGAACGTTGTTCGGTGAGCATTGAAAACCGACACTGTGTGGTTGTAAACGTTATTCGGGTGAGCGTAGAAAACCCGGTCGTGATAGTGGATTTCTCCCCGGGAGTGGGGAGCGGAGACGTAGGACGGAAGGTCTGAACTCCGTGATCATATAGTGTGTTTGAGTATGCTTTGGCGTTCATTTATATTCATGCTCATATTTTATATCTCCATTGTAATTTACTCTTAGTTCATATTATCCACTATCTTGTTTATCTTATTTATGTTTATATCACCCTTAGTTTCATATCCTTGCATATAACTCATAGTATATCTCATTGCTAGGATATATCCCTTGTTCATATTGTTTATCCTAGCTCACATATCTTGTTGTATTTTATACTTGCTAGGATAACTTGATAATTAGTTTTTTAATTGGTATTTAATCGGATTAGATTAGCATAAGACCCTA